ACTCTGAAAGTTGCCATGAGATATATCAGTGAAATAACTGCAGGATATGAAATATGACCTCTTATAGTTCAATGTGTTTAATATAAATGAGGCAGAGGAAAGTAGAGTTAAAAATTAGTAAGATATTAGCAAGGATTTTAAAAAATGTATAATTTATTATATATGTATATATTCCTTAACAATATGTTATATGATCCAACAATGAAATATACATCCATGAAAAAGACAGATATAAAACAATAAAACATATGAATCTTAAGAGATATGTTAAGTGAAGAAAATCAAATCCTTGGACTACATAGGGTATGATACAATTTTTTTGAAGTTCAAAAAGAAAACTAAAAAATAAGTCACTTTAGGTATACATATATATTTCAGGTATTTTTACATGTGAATAAAACTATTAAAAAGAGAGCAGGGGGTTGGGCAAAGACAGGAGAGGAGCTCAAATAGATAAAATGCAAGCACTGCTAATATTATCATTCTTAAGTTAGGTGATGAGTTATTATACTTGATAATTTATTTGCATTCCACATTTACCCTTTTATAAGCATCAAAATTACATTTAAATAAGTCCAAAATTATGTGTAAAGTATAAATAAAATTCATTATGTGTATGGTTGTTCCCAAAACTGCTTATTTCATCAAGCAGAGTTCTTGGTTATAGGCAATTCAGGTAGGTTTTAACAACAACAAAAAACTGATTTTATTAAAAGTAATTCTCAGGATCTGTAGGATACCTAGCAAACAAGAATTAGAGGTTACAGGCCAGGCGTGGTGACTCTTGCCTATAATCTCAGCACTTTGGGAGGCCAAGGTGGGCAGATCACCTGAGGTCAGAAGTTCCAGACCAGCTTGGCCAACATGGAGAAACCCATCTCTACTAAAAATACAAAAATTAGCCGGGCGTGGTGGTGGGCATTTGTAATCCCAGCTGAGGGAGGAAGGCTGAGGCAGGAGAATTGCTTGAATGCAGAAGGAGGAGATTACAGTGAGCTGAGATAGTGCTACCGTACTCCAGCCTGGGTGACAGAGCAAGACTCTGTCTAAAAAAAAAAAAAAAAAAGGAATTAGAGATTATCACTAAATCACTTTTGCTGCTCCTCTGTGGAGATGAATGCAGTAGTTTTGTTAGTTACCGTCTTCAAAGGAGTCTGCATGGTTCCTTGCTTCTTTATATCACTAACTTTAAAGTTGAAGGCTGCAAAAGAGGCTGAGAAAACATTTACCTGGTAGTTTCAAATTCTTTAGGAGGGAGGAATGCGGAATGCTCTCCCTCATTACGTGAGGGATTCCCTAAACACAGGAGTTAAGATACTGGGCAGCTAAAAGAGAAATGACAGATGTCTGCTACAGCCAATTCTTTTGGCTATTCAACATCAACGCACTCCTTCAGCTAATTCTTCCAAAACTATATTCAAGGGGAAAGGACTTGACAATGTAAGTCACAGACACTGTTAGTTGCTTTCTCAGCATTCTTTCTTCTTGGTAATACTGATTTTATTTGGGACAGCTATGTACCCTGCTTTCTTTGCAGGTACCAGTGGCCATTTAACTGGTTAGGCAATTAAGTCAAGGGGAAATCCATTTGGAATTTCTGGGAAAGCTCTATTTGCCCTCATAAAAGGGGATATATGTAGCTGGCACAGGGCATTTCCATTATTTCTTCCCTGCCTTAAACATGGCATGACATTTGGCTCAGCAACAACTTTCTAGCAAACACAAGAAAATAGCACGAGGGATGAAAGCCAACATGGTAAGGAGGCAGATTTGAAAGACAGAACTGCACCTTTTCCTGTGTATAATGTATTAAGAGTCACTGGTTTTACATTAACCCTTTTAGTTGAATGCATACATACTCTCAGCTATACCATTCTAGAAAACACTATTTCATTAGTTAAGACTCCATTTATTGAATTCATAATATTTTCTAATATATGAGCTGTGGTGTTTCACACTATTGGACTATTAATAAAAATAGATTTTGCTATTCAAGAAACATTTGAAACTCCCAGCAGTATTTGGCATTTAAAGGTATCTCAAGTTAGTGATTAAAAATGTGCTTAAGGCCGGGCGCGGTGGCTCACGCCTGTAATCCCAGCACTTTGGGAGGCCAAGGCGGGTGGATCACGAGGTCAAAAGATCGAGACCATCCTGGTCAACATGGTGAAACCCCGTCTCTACTAAAAATACAAAAAATCAGCTGGGCCTGCTGGCACGTGCCTGTAATCCCAGCTACTCAGGAGGCTGAGGCAGGAGAATTGCCTGAACCCAGGAGGCGGAGATTGCGGTGAGCCGAGATCGCGCCATTGCACTCCAGCCTGGGTAACAAGAGTGAAACTCCGTCTCAAAAAAAAAAAAAAAAAAAAAAATGTGCTTAAGACTCTGTCTGGGTTTGAATCTTGGGTTCCAGTTTGGACAAATAACTGCCTCCTTGTGCCTGAGTATCTGCAAAATGAGGTACAGTTAAAGTGGAGATTATATAATACAGTACCTGACACATAGTAAAGCACTCAACAGATGGTAGCCATTATTGGCAATACCATATATACTTTGCTTTTGTGGCACCAAGGTTTTCTTCTTCCCTCCTACCCATTTATTATCTGTATTGAATTCTCAAGTTTAAGGTCCCTTTTCTGTATCCTATACAGACTTACAAAATGGATTTTTCACACTGCATTATAATGATATATATACTTGTCTCCTGTACCAGAATTTTTCCTTTTAAAATTCATAACTATTAATGAAGTAGTTGGCACATAGACTAGACTTTTTTCTTTTTAATCTTTTAGAGTGCTAATCATTGCACAATGGGGCCTAGACTAGACATTTTTAAATTAGTGTCTTTAGGAATTATCTGGGATGATTATTAGAATACAAATTCTTGAACTCCATCCCCAAATTTCTATTTCAGTAGGTCAGGGAACCACATTTTGAAGAATACTAAAATAAACCTTCAATGTTTGAATCAAATTATGCATAAAGTGTTAATATAAGAATTATAGATACTGATATAATACTACACCAATATAAAGTACTATTTGTAGAGTTATACTACTGAATATACTGTGTTAATTACAAAATATGTATGACTTGTGATGACTACTTGACAAGGTTTTTATATATGTTAAAAAAAACCCTCTGCATTTCTTAATTTGACTTATTAGTGAGTAAAATTAGCTAATCTTCTAAAAGTGCAGTTTTGTTAGAAAAGATAATTTTGAACTAAGATTTTAACCAGGCAAGTTCTTCACCCACTGAAGGAGAAACTTTAAAATCCATTTAAAAGGAAGAACATTTCTCCCCTACTCAATTTGCTAACTACACATTATCTTCATAGCATTAATACCAGCCAGAATTTATATTATGCAGGGCATTAAAAGCTTCTTAGACGTGTACCACAGGCTTTTGATTTCCCAGGGGGAAAAGTTAATATGCAGATTTATCCTGATACTTGAGATATAAAGAACTTTATAAACAGCTCTAAAGGAACATAAAGCAGACAAAGGGACATCATATTATACCTTAATTTGATTATTTTATCATTTTCACTGAAATCTAGGCATCGTAGGTTTGGCCATGGCTGCTAAATAGCATAGAGTACCTGTCTCTTGGATGGACTTATGGGGTCACTTAAGATATACTGCAAGGCAGATGGCTGGGCTATTTACTTACTCTTGGGAAATGAAATTAAAAAACACTCACAGTTGGAGGTTTTTTTTTTTTGTCAAATGCTATGCAGGATATAGAACAGAAATTTGAAGAATTCTTAAATGACATATAACTATTCATTAACATCCAATGCTCTAGGTGACATCCATTAGTATTACTGGGATCAGATGCTTTAGGACATCTTTGAAAGATTCTGTTGTTTTAACTGGAGTTAGTTCTTTATAGCAGTACGAAAGAAATATTACATCACATAAAGCACTAACAACTCTTTTTAATACCGTGTCTTTCCCATGCATTATGGTGCTTAATGTTATTGGAAAATACAGGTTTAGCATTATTTCAACTAATTCTGGGCAAATCTAAATACAATAGTATAACATGAAGAAATTTATAAATATGAAATGTGAGTAAACTGAACCGGGAATGATTTGATGAGTGAATCCAGCTGACCACTGGGCATTTGCATCTCAATGTTGCCTACATAGCATTATGAGTGTAATAATTCTCGTTAGGTAATAAAACTGCTTCCTTACCTTTTTATATAGCTTTAAAAAGAAAAAAAGCTACTTTTATGTAAAAAATAGACCTAAAAAGAAAGTCAACTATTAATGCTAGGAATGAAAGGCATCCAATCCAAGTGATAGTTCTTAACTATAAAATGGAAATTATATAAAAGTTAAAATAAAATGTAGAACTAGTAGGATAACATTGAAAAATTGACTCAGAGGCTGAAGCGAGCAGATCATGACGTCAGGAGATCGATACCATCTTGGCCAAAATATTGAAACGCTGTCTCTACTAAAAATACAAAACTTAGCTGGGTATGGTGGCATGTGCCTGTAATCCCAGCTATTTGGAAGGCTGAGGCAGGAGAATCACTTGAACCAGGGAGTTGGAGGTTGCAGTGAGCCAAGATCGTGTCACTGCACTCCAGTCTGGCAACAGAGTGAGACTCTGTCTCAAAAAAAAAAAAAAGACAAGAACAATCGACTCATTATATTTGGGTTTTTTTATTTTCTTGTGTTTTTGGCTGATTATATTTAATAAAAGCTACTCTTAGTATTTGAAGTAAGTGCACATATATGTGTGCATGCACATACACAAGACAAGTTCCTCAGCTTTGAACAATATGAACTTTGAACAATATATGACAACTATACTATCACTGGGGAAAAAATAGCTTACTTATTTCCAAGTATGTTTGCTGGGACTAGCAGTAGGTTCTCTCAAATTAAAAGGAAAGGCACCAGGCCATAAAGTGCCAATTCTTAGCACCAGAGAGACTTAAAACTTCACAGGCGAATGACATTACAAATCAGAGAATCTGCTGATTTAGTTCTGTGGAATTGTATTATTTATGTCAAATGAAAAAAAGATAAACAAGGTTTATGCCAAATAAATTTAAAAAGTTAAATCTCTCCTAAAATTTCCTAGAAGTGTATTTTACAATGCTATATCTAATAAAATTGCTGGCTTATAAAAAAATGCTCAAAGTTTCAGAGATGTGAAAAATAACAATGAACTGAAAACACTGTTTATATAAATCAAGGTCCCAGAAATAAAAATTAAAAGTAGTCTCTTTGAGAAAGGAATAGTGCAATTCAGCATGTATCCACATTAATACATCTGAGAACCGTTTTTGTGGACAGCAGTATTGACTGGAAATTCTAAATTGCCACCTGATAACTTTAAACAAGATTAAATCAAATCTGAGGCAGGACACTTAATGAACAGTACTTGAATGGGAAGATAATAACTTCCTTCCTTGATAGACAATCTCCAGCCATCATTCAGAGTTCAGTTATTTGATGGCTTGTGAAGCAGTGTCCATTGAGTTTTCCTTTCTGGCTTGAAGAGACTCACTGCTGATGGACAATAATTCTCGAAGTTCCTTATTTTCAAGCTGGAAAAAAAAAGGCATGTTTATTTCTGATATTTTTTACTGTCAAACTGTTATAAAAACACATTATTTTGGGCCAGGAGCAGAAAACATTATTTTAATTTTAAAAATTTTAAGGAAACAAAAAGTCCACTAATTGAGAATTTCCTTAAATACTACTTATCTATTCATTTAACAAACATTTACATGTAGAATGTAGGCAATGATACTCTTTTGTAGTAGTAATTTACTGAGTAATTTCTACATGCCAAGTGTGAGGCTTACAAAGGAGAAACAAAAAACAAGGTCTCTCTCCACCTGAGGAATTCACTGTTATATTCTTCATGGTTCCCACAGTTTTACTATTATTTGTTTTATTTAAAAAATTCCTAATAGTCATTTCACTCTGATTAGTCTCCACTCCTGGATATCTTACAGTTTTAGAGAAATGGAAGAAAAAGGGGAAAGAAACTACTTATTAAGCATGTAGCTGGGTACATGGGTGCACTGTGTTATGTTATCTCACAATAACCTGTAGGGTAGGGTATCATTGTCTACATCCATATTCTATTTAAGATGAGGATAAAATTCCAAAAAGTTGTCCAAATTCAGACAACTTGGATGTGATACTGCTGGGGTCTGAATCTGGTGGTCATATTTTTTCTACATGAAGTATTAAAGTAGAACTTGTCCCACATTTCCTTAGGGCTATTTCCATAAGTGAGGTAAATTGGGGATAAATAGAAGGTCATTCTATCATTTCACTGGCTCCTAATTCCTACTTGGGACCTGTCACTACCTTTGATTTCTAGACAAGGTAACTTGCACTCTTCATCCTTATTCTCTGCAGAAAATTCTGGTAAACCAAAGCATTTTTAGCTTCACCAAGATGTGCGGAAGTCACAGCTAGAGTAACTTAGAGATTAGAGCCTGTGGTTGATAAATTTACCCCATGAAGTGCTTCCTTCAGTATTTGTATCTGACTCCTAGCACTTAATATACTATTTCATATCACGTAAGTACTAGGGTTATTCCCTCCACTAGACTCTGGGCAGGTACCTGTTTTTTCTCTCTGGTATTTCTCAAAAGGCCCAGGACAGCACCTTGTCATATGCAGCACTCAAACCAATAACTGAAATGCTTCGCTTTTTTTTTTCTTTTAAATTTTTGAGACACGGTCTCACTCTGTCGCTCAGGTTGGAGTGCAGTGGCATATGTGATCATGGCTCACTGAAGCCTCGACTTCCTGGGTTCATGTGATCCTCGCACCTCAGTCCCCCAAGTACCTGGGATTACAGGAGTACACTACCACACCTGGCTAATTTTCTGTATTTTTTTTTGTAAAGACAGGCTCCCACCATGTTATCCAGACTACTCTTCAACTCTTGGGCTCAAGTAATTCACTCACCTTAACCTCCCAAAGTTGAAATGTTTTTCCTTAACAATTTTATGGGCACACTATACCCCAAACCCTTTTTTGTAACATATTCCTTTTCTAATCAAAATATGATATAAACATAGCTTTTAAGAAATCAAGACTATAAGGCTTATACAAGCAGTTCTTTGGCTTTGTACCCCAAATGCAACCACTTTTAGTTTTATCTATTTCTTTTGGTATTTAATTCATAATTCTAAATAATACACTTATACTACTATTTCCTGATCATCAATTTTAGTTAGGTATTATCTACTTCCCTTCTTATTACGGCAGATGAAGGATTTTATGTCACAAATAAGCTCTCCCCTCCACTCCCACTACCTTCACATTATGATAGCTCAACTTCTTGCCAATACATAGTTGGCATTTCCATTGATTGCTGTTTACTATATTTCCTTTCTTCATAGGGTATGAAGGAGGAGTTTTAATTTTAAATCATAAACACATAGAAAACATCAATATATTACAGTGATAGGACAGTGAGGGTGTATCTTCCAGACTCTGAAAACTCTGAAATACTGTGAACCAAAAATGACAACAATCTTACCTCTAATTGGGCTAATTTTTCCTGAATCTTACAAAACTGGTCATCATCTACCTGAACTGCTTTCCTCATCACCTCTCCCATTTCACAGATTCTGTCAATCTGACTCTCAATTTCCTGTGAAGATATTAAGGAAACAAAGGTGAAAAAATCATCTGTTCTATAGAAATAAAGAACATAAGAGTGTGCGCGTTATGATTTTTAAAAGTTCATTTAATCTATGCTACAAAAGTTACAGTGGAGTTTCACTACAATTTTAGTCCTCAGATATAAAGCCATAGTCAAATGACCTTGTGGTATTAACAGATAATTTTTTTTTTTTTTTTCCGAAAAATCAATTGTAGTTTAACTACCCATTGGATGTTGGATACTATCTCTAAGTGGCTGTTTAACTTAAATTTGAATATGTTCATTGGCAGGAAGCTTACTACATTTCATCTTTGGACATATCACTTAGAAAGTTTATCTATCTGAGTAAACTCTGTCTCTTTCAAGGTTCAAGTTTTTTCCTCCATATGAGAAAAAATAAAATCTACTTTTCTTTTCCAGATGAAAGCCATTCAAATATTTATAAAATATCTCTTTTTCCTAAAACTTTTAAGTCAGTAAAATGCATTCAATGGAATTTAAGATGAAGCTTATCTTTCACTACATCTCACAGTAGCAAATAGTAGGCTCCAATCTACACATCTAGAATTAAATGATACAGTACACATGAATGTACAATGACTACTACGAAGCACCTACAAACATAAGAACAATTGCTGAGTCTCTCAAATTAGGTCATAAGCAACCGAAGTATAGAAACTATGCCATGCTTGGTTTTTTTTTTTTTTTTTTTTTTTTTTTATAAAAAAAGCATGCTTCTCTTCCCTAACAACATAGTATAATGCTATGTAGTTCAGTTTAAAAAATGTTTACTGACCGCCTGCTATATGTCAGGTACTATGGTAGGAATAAAATATGAATTCATGCTCCTTACAACGAAGGAGATTAAGTGAGATGTATAAGTAATAAGCAACCAAGTGTTTACTGGGCATCCTCAACACTAACTGGCATTGTTTGGTGGGAGAGCTAAGAATTAATGAACATCTTCAAAAGAGATCTTGGTAAGGGAGGGGGTACCTTAGTCCTACTCAAATAAAAGGAACTGAGCAGCCCCTATCCTCCTCCTTTCTATTCATATATTTTTTCTATTCATATCTTTACAAAACCATGGCAAAATAAACAAACGTGATAAACATGAAAGGAAAACAAGCTTACTTTTCTTCAAAAACAAGCACACATGGCCAGTTACAGTGGTTCATGCCTGTAATCCCAGTACTTTGGAAGGCCAACATAGATGGATTGCTTGAGCACAGGAGTTTCAAACCAGCCTGTGCCACACAGCGAAACCTCATCTCTACCAAAAAAACAAAACACCACACACACAAAAATTAACAGGGCATGGTGGTGCACACTTGTAGTCCCAGCTGCTCAGGAAGCAGAGATGAGAGGATGGCTAGAGCCCAGGAGGTAGAGGTTGCAGTGAGCTGAGATCGTGCCACTACACTTCAGCCTGGTCAACAGAGCCAGACCCTATCTCAAAAAACAAAAGAAAAACAAGCACACAATGAAAACAATCTCAAGATTTCAATTCAGTTCATTTCAAATTTACTCAAAGTTTCTTACTGCAGAGTGAGACTGGTGAGCTTTCAGGACTGGTTCAGCATCCACAGCTTTTTTAACAACCATTAACTGTAACATCTGTTTCCGGTACTTGCTCATGATGAGTTCCAAAGCATCCTGGTGTTCCTCCAAGGAAACCCACAGCTCTATCAAAAATAAAATAACTTGGCAGTGATGTCTGAGAGAGAGCTCCCATATCCAAAGTTAACAGTGGGAATTTTGTAACACTATAGAGATAATATGAATCCAAAGTTGTAAATCAGTGTTTAAGTCCACAAAACTGAACAGTTAAAGTCTACGTGAAAGATAACTTTCTAGGCAGAGAAGCAGAAACAACAAAGGATATATCTTGCAGAAACAACAAAGGATATGTCATCAGAAGACATAGGTTTGAGTTCAGTTCTGTAATTTGCTGGGTTAATACTCAGAAGTAAATCATTTAGCCTCTCTGAGTGTATTTCTTAACTGCATTGTGAATAGCTAAAAATGAAGATAGGAGAATACAGTAGAATGATACCTGTGAAACCCCGCTGGTAAACAACTATTAATACTACAATGATTAATAATATACTAATCAAGCCTAAGAATATATACCCTTAAAATAACATTCTGCTGCTTCACCTTGCATAAACAAGAACATAAACGAAATCTTAAATCTTACCTTCAGTGTTTATTTTCATTAATATTTAAACATTAAAGTTTGCAATAATTCAACTCTATTCAGCACCTCTTTGGTAAGCTGCTACAAAATCAGTCAGATGATCTTGAAAAGGGTAATCTAAAAAACTTTATTGTTACCGGGCCAGCACAGGAGGACTCACCTACTAAAAGTACTGACCTGGAAATACATGTACACTTTTGTGAACGGTTAGGGCAATTCTGCAATAACTTTCAAACTATTATCAGATATGAAAGAAAAGGCCTAACCTCTGTTTTCCTGCTGCAAGTCTCTAATCTGTGTGTTCTCTTGGGACAGCAGAATGTGAGGTTTGTATTTGGACATGTCCTTCATATCGGATGCATCCTCTTGATACTGGACAAACAGAGACAGACTAAGTAGAGAACAGTGGCAGATGCAACTGAAGAGGCAGAAATCAGGGCTCCAGGGCAGGTTTCTCAGCCCCGACCCAGGAAAAATGTCTCACCGCCGCCCTCTGAGACCCGGAATAAATTCCAGGCCGAGTTCCCACTTTACCTCTCTCTCCACCCTTCAGTGCCCAGAATCCGAGAGCACTGGACTCCTACCCTCTGCCTGACCTGATCCGGAAGCGCTGTCCCCGCCTCCCGCATAGAGGCTACCCGGCGGTGCAGCGCCGCCGACTGATCCACCAGTGACTCAGCGGCCGCATCGTGCTCCCGCAGCCTCTCCAGCAGCGTCTTGGCATCTGTCAGGATCTTTTCGATGGTGCAGCTCATAGCAGCAGCACGACCCCACAGAACCTGCCGGGCTTAGCTACGCGACTTGCTGAGATCTTCTGGGAGTCTGTCTCAGCATTACAAGCGTCACTTCCGGGCACGTTTGAAAGGTGTCTTGGCAGGCGCACTAAGCGCCTGCGCAATAGCAGTCTAGTTTGCGGGTTCACCCGCTGTAACCTGTGGCTTCTGTGCAGTCCCGCCCAGCGCGGAGCCCCAGACCTGTCCTTGCTACGCTCTTGGTTCCAGTTCCCACAGCCATGATTAACTGGGCAGTAGGAAGTTCTCCTTTCCCTACTGGTGTTCATTGATGTGGGTTGTTACTCATAGTTTTTAATTTTCATTTAATTTTTAATAAAAAACTTTTTAAATTTTTGTTTTTTGAGACGGAATTTTGCTCTTGTCGCCCAGGCTGGAGTGCAGTGGCGCGATCTCGGTTCACTGAAACCCCCGCCTCCCGGGTTCAAGCGATCCCTCTGCATTAGCCTCCCAAGAACCTGGGACTACAGGCATGTGCCATCACATGCGTCTAATTTTTGTTATTTTTAGTAAAGACAGACTTTCACCATGTTGGCCAGGCTGGTATGGAACTCCTGACCTCAAGTGATCTGTCTGCCTCGGCCTCCGAAAGTGCTGGGAATGTAGGCGTGATCCACTGCACCCGGCCTATTTTCATTTAATTTTTTAAAAATTGTGATAAAATACACATAAAATTTAATATCTCAGCCATTTTTAAGCATACAGTTCAGTAATATTAATAGCAAGTACATTCACATTGTTATACAGCCACCATCAGCATCCATCTCTAGAACTCTTTCATCTTGCAAAACTGAAGTTCTGCACTATTAAACAATAACTCCTCATTCTTTCTTATCCCCATCCCCTGGCAGACACCATGCTACTTTCTGTCTCTACAGATTTGACTATTCTGAGTACCTGACATGAGTGAAATCATACAGCATTTGTATTTATGTAACTGCCTTATTTCACTTAGCATATTGTCCACAAGTTTCATCCATATAGTAGCATATATTAGATTTTCCTTCCTTTTTAAGGCTGAATAATACTCCATTGTATTGTATACACCACATTTTGTTTATCCATTCATCCATTGGGTTGCTTCCACCTTTTGCTGTTGTAAATAATGCAGCTATTGCAACTGGCTCACATCTGGCTGCTTGCTGCTTAGAGGCCAAAAACATGAGAATCGAGGTGTGGTGAAAGGAAAGCAGTTTTACTAATCAGATGCTCGCAGATGGGGCATGGCTAGGCTCATGCCTTCAAAACAGCATTCCGTTTTGTTTTTTTTTTTTTTGTCAAGGTATCCCAGAGACAGTATCAATGTCCAAACTTTTATTTTGTCCCATATCAATGCCAGGGTGATGTGCCACCTGCCCTGAGTCCATCATGACCCTGCTATGGTTAACAGACTTATAGTCAATTAAATGTTGTAGGCCAGATGTGGAAGAGGGTGGGCAGGCATTCATTAGCATTAAAACCCCACTTACGCAATGTTAAGTGCCAAAAACTGAAAGCCAAAGGCAAGGTTACAAAATTGTCTTATCTATAAATTCTGTGCATTGAGCTGCTATAATCTTGGCTTGTTGCAATTAGCTATACAAAACGCAAGCATTTTGTTTAGCTGTTTTGGCATCTGTATGCCATCCTTGTTTTGTAGGGTCTGAACTAATTTTAGCCCTCAATACTGGCCCTCACAATATTATGTTTTAGTCTTTTGGCCTGGAGGGATTGAATAGTTTCAAATTCTGTAGGTAAAACAAAACAGAAAGAATTAACGTTTTAAACACAAAGGTCATAAACCCTGCCTAGTTTTGAGAATGACAGGAAAGGAAGTTCATAGGTAGCTAAACATTTAAATTATTTAGTATCAAGGCACTGAATAAATTATATTAATTCAGATAGAGGCAAAATTGTTAAATGAATTTTAATGTTTTTGAACACAAGACTGTCTCTGGGTCTCATGAAAGCAGTTTTCTTCGTCACCTTTGCCTGAGTCTAAAGATGAGGCTTTGGTTAACTGCAGTTTAGTGTCAGATACTGGCAGGAGTTGGTGCCTTCTTTGGATGAGATATGTGTAAAGCCCTGTAACTTAAAAGCACAAGGATTGGTTAATATCACCTCATAAGAACCTTTTCAAAGAGCTGGAGGTGTGATACTGGAGTCCATGACCTGACTGGAAGCTGTAAAAAGATTTTACAACTTTGTGGTGATAATTTTTATAGCTTTGATAAACCTCAGCATTAAGTCAGAGACTTAATCTAGGATTTTGATTTTGAGAACATTTGTCAAAGATTTTAAAAGGCTCAAAACAAAATAATAATTATTCTAAAAATAATATTTACTCATTTAACCAAACTAATAATTAAAGACTTTAAAGGCAATACAGGAGATTACATGGACATAAAAACCTGAACCCTTTAAAATCTCAGTTTTTATAGGCAATTAAAAACCCATTAAAGATAGCATGGGAATTATCTTGATAAAACATAAAAATCTTGTTTCTTAAGCAAGTTACTGCATAGGCAAAAAAAAACCCTTCTGCTGTGTGACTGCTTCTCTTTATGGGAAGACTATGCAGATAATTGAAAGTCAGACTTGATTTAAAAAAGGTGCTTGAATTTAATCAGCCATAAGAAGAGTGTATTCATGATTATGAGTATAGCAAGGGAATACATCACTCTGAGCAATTGCATGAGAAGTTTCCTGATTAAAATGAAAATCATACATATTAAGAAAAGCCAAGAGTACAGAATCAAGCTGCATTGGAGGAAAACACTGCTTTTATAGACTTCTAAGATAAAACATTTCAGCATCAGGCCCCAACAGTTAGAATCAGAGGGAAAAAAAAACTTAGAGGAGGTGATGGAAAAAGTTGAAGGAGAGAGTTTAATCTCTGGCCTTTTCAAAGGGTGGAAAAAGCTGAAAACAACCAGACATAACAGAAATTGAACTTCTAAGATAGGAATCTGAGAAGTTTTGTAAAGAGATAGGTCATAAAATTAAAAAGCAAAATTCCCTTTAATTTTATTAAGAGTAAACCAATACCTTAGGAAGACATTGTCTAAACCTAGGGAATCATTCTTTATTTTTATTTTTAATTTATTTTTATTTTACTTTAAGTTCTGGAATATGTGTGCAGAATGCACAGGTTTGTTACATAGGTATACATGTGCCATCGTGGTTTGCTGCACCTAACAACCCCTCATCTAGGTTTTAAATCCCGCAATTATTAGATATTTGTCCTAATGCTCCACCTTCCCTTGCCCTCCACCCTGAGAGGCCCCATTGTGTGACGTTCCCCTCCCTGTGTCCATGTGTTCTTATTGCTCAACTTTCACTTATGAGTGAGAACATGATGTGTTTCGTTTTCTGTTCCTGTATTAGTTTGCTGAGGATGATGGCTTCCAGCTTCATCCATGTCCCAGCAAAGGACATGAACTCATTCTTTTTTGTGGCTGCATAGTATTCCACGATATATATATGTACTACATTTTCTTTACCCAGCCTATCATTGATAGGGATTTGTGTTGGTTTCAAGTCTTTGCTATTGCAAATAGTGCTGCAATAAACATATGTGTGCATGTGTCTGTGTAGTAGAATGATTTATAATCCTTTGGGTATATGCCCAGTAATGGGATTGCTGGGTCAAATGGCATTTCTGGTTCTAGATCATTGAGGAACGGCCACACTGTCTTCCACAATGGTTGAACTAATTTACACTCCCACCAGCAGTGTAAAAGCGTTCCTATTTCTCTACATCCTTACAAGCATCTTTTGTTTCCTTTTTAATTATTGGCATTCTAACTGGCATGAGATGGTATCTCATTGTGGTTTTGATTTACATTTCTCTAATGATCAGTGATGATGAGCTTTTTTTTCATGTTTGTTGGATGCATAAATACCTTCTTTTGAGAAGTGTCTGTTTATATTCTTCACCCACTTTTTGATGGATTTGTTGGGGTTTTTTTCTTGCAAATCTGTTTAAGTTCCTTGTAGATTCTGGATAGATGGATAGATTGCAAAATCTTTCTCCCATTCTGTAAGTTGCCTTTTCACTCTGATGATAGTTTCTTTTGTTGAGCAGAAGATCTTTAGTTTAATTAGATACCATTTGTCAAATTTGCCTTTGGTTGAAATTGCTTTTGGTGTTTTAGTCATGAAGTCTTTGCCCATGCCTATGTCCTGAATGATACTGCCTAGATTTCCTTCTAGGGTTTTTATGGTTTTGGATTTTATATTTAAGTCTTTAATCCATCTTGAGTTAATTTTTTTGTATAAGGTGTAAGGAAGGGATCCAGTTTCAGTTTGCTGCATATGGCTAGCCAGTTTTCCCAACACCATTTATTAAATAAATTCTTTCCCCATTGCATGTTTTTGTTAGACTTGTCAAAGATCAGATGAGTGTAGATGTCTGGTGTTATTTCTGAGGTCTCTGTTTTGTTTCATTTGTTTATATATCTGTTTTGGTATCAGTACCATGCTGTTTTGGTTAGTATAGCCTTGTGATATTGTTTGAAGTCAGGTAACATGATGCCTCCAGCTTCGTTCTTTTTGCTTAGGATTGTCTTGGCTATATGGGCTCTCTTTTGACTCCATATGAAATCTAAAGTAGTTTTTTCTAGTTCTGCAAAGACAGTCAATGGTACCTTGATGAGTATATCATTGAATCTATAAATTACTTTGGGCAGTATGGCCATTTTCATGATATTGATTCTTCCTATCTATGAGCATGGAATATTTTTCCATTTGTTTGTGTGCTCTCTTATTTCCTTGAGCAGTGGTTTGTAGTTCTCCTTGAAGAGGTCCTTTATGTCCCTTGTAAGTTGTATTTCTAGGCATTTTATTCTCTTTGTAGCAATTGTGAATGGAAGTTCACTCATGATTTGGCTCTCTGCTTGTCTATTATTTGTGTATAGGAATGCTTGTGATTTTCGCACACTGATTTTGTATCCTGAGACTTTGCTGAAGTTGCTTATCAGCTTAAGGAGTTTTTGGGCTGAGACAATGGGGTTTTCTAAATATGCAGTCATGTCTTCTGCAGACAGAGACAATTTGACTTCCTCTCTTCCTA